ATTTTAATGACTACCGGAAGAAAAATAAAAATCAATTATGTAATTTAATAATAAGCTAAAACCAGCCGGGCGTTGGTGGCGCACGCCTTTAGTCCCAGCACTTGGGAGGCAGAGGCAGGCGGATCTCTGTGAGTTCGAGGCCAGCCTGGTCTACAAGAGCAAGTTCCAGGAAAAAAGCTAAAACCAGATAATACAGCTATTGGGTACTTTTTAAACCAGAAAGACCCCCAAATCTAGCAAACTGGTTGGACAGAGTGGCTAACAGTCCCAAGAGGCCTTTGCCGGGATACTAGACGCTAAGAGGAAGCTAAGCTACATCACCATACAGTCAACCAAGATTCAACTGGGATTGGACTTCCTGTCAAGTTAGCAAAAATTGCCCCCTGTAAACTGTGGACAAATGTCACTTCTAATTCTACTGCAGGCTTCTCTCTAGGTTGACAGAAGGCAGGAGACTGAAGTGGGAGCCAGCTGTGAATCCCTGACTGCTCACTGTTGACTGATTTAGGTCAGTCTAATGAGGTTTCTTTTCCACTATTAATGTTCATCATAGCTAGTTCTGTCACTCAGGTTTCATAAGAACAAGAAATGAGAAAGAAAAACTGTCACTAAATGCATTTTATTTGCTTACTTTTCAACAATTAGGGAGCATAGCACTAATGTGTAAGAATATACAGAAGTATCAATGGTAAATAGCAAGAGGTAAGCTATCAGCAGTCAATCACCTGCTTCTAATTAGTTATCCAAACCCGGCTCAGCATTTTCCTCAGACATCCCAGTGAAGTGTCCAGCACTTCAGAGGTGGAGGCAGGAGGATCAGGAATTCAAATCCAGCCTCAGCAACATGGAACCTGTCTTCTTCCAGTACCAGCACCCACACACACAGGGAAAAAGAAAAAAACCAAAAAACAGAAAAAAAAAAAAAAAACCCCAAACCATGTAAAAGGTCACAGTTGCCTGCAGATTAGAAAAGTGACTTCTCAAAAGATTAGCTATGGTTACTACTGAGCCACCAATTCTATTTCTACATATACAATCTACAAAAATAAAACAAATCCCTGTGCAAGAAATGTCTACAGCAGAGGCTCGAGAGATGATGGCTCAGAGGTTAAGAACACTGGCTGTTCTTCCAGAGGTCCCGAGTTCAATTCCCAGCACCCACATGGTGGCTCACAACCATCTACAATTAAATCTGGTGCCCTCTTCTGGCATGTAGGCAGAACACTGCATATGTAATAAATAAATTAAAAAAGAAAGAAAGAAATGTCTACAGTGACATTGTTCATGAAAGTCAGACAGTGAAAACACCCCAAAGACATCAATTTATAAACATAAATACTGAGGCGTATCCAATACTACGAGGTGTGCTACTACACGAACACCCCTGAAAACGGGCGGAGAGGCGGCTGCAGGGCTCCGCTATGTGAGTGTGAAGCCAGCCTATGGCGAGAAAGTATATTGGCAGTGGACTGGAGGGGAAGCTGAAGTCACTTGTGGGCTCTGCGTTCACGCTTACCTCGGTATGAAACTTGTTGTCGCACAAATATAATGATGTATTAATTGGTTTGAAAGGTTCAAAGTCAATGTTGACTTTCTTTTCCTTTCCTTCTTCTGTTACAATTGTTCCGCAGTAAACAACCAGACCATTTGGAGGTACTGCAAAGAACATAAACAATTTCTCTACTTTAGCTGTTCCTAGAGTCACATTTAAATAGAAAAACCCATAAGACGTATAGGAAAAATCTCACCCCTATTGCAAAACTTCCTCTGAGCTGTTTCAGTAGGAGTTATTCCTTAAGTATAGCAAATACTACTTAGTGCCCAATGGGTTAAACAAACAATAAATCTAGAGAACAATGGCAACAGCTGCCTGAGGACCGCAGAGCAGACAAAGCAGAGGGAACCGGTACCTTTGTTATAAAGTTTGAGTCTCTGTTGTACAGATGTGATGGCTCCCAGGACTGAAAGGCGGTTTACTCGTGACTTAATGTTAGACGCAGTTCCAAACTCATCTGCTAACATTTTTGCCACTCGTGAAATCTGGTCTTTGGGAGGAATGATCAGCGATATCATGCTCGTGCCATTGCTAGAGAGAGAGAGAGAAAATCACATCACTTTAAATTCATGCTTACCATCAGGAAAATGAGCTATGGTGAGACAGCCCAGATGACAAAAACACACAGTCTGGTCGGCACCAGAAAAGCAGTAACTACACCAGTGCATTTTCCAAACAAGAGTCAGTAAACAGTAAGCGCTCAATTACTTCAATATGGAGATTAGTCAGGTAATGAACGCACTCAAAGGGAAATACCTCATTCTCAAGGGTGAAGAAAGAGAGAAGAAGGTTGCTATGGAGGACCAACAAGCTGGAATTTGGCCATGAATGCAGCCTGTCAACAGTGGAGGGTAAGATTCTGGTGGCTCTTTGGTGGGAGAAGCTATGCCAGAACAATGCAACAAGTCTTCCAAAGTCCAGAAAAATGTTTCACTTAACACCACCCCTTTCTCCTTAAACTCTGGGCTTGCCACAAGCCCTCAAACACTAACCCAGCATATGCATCACTCTCTCACAAATACCCCAGTCACAAAACTGTAGAGATCCTCCTGTCTCTGCTGGGATTAAAGGAGCATGCAACCAAGAATGTGTTTTGATTACACTGATTTGACTAGTTTTTTTTTTTTTTTTTTTTTTTTTTTGCAGGAATCAAGCAGGGAGTAGAGATGGCTGGGTAATTGAGAGCACCTGTTTCAAATTCATACAAAAGAGCCTGGAGTTGAGGTCCCAGAACCCTTGCAACAAGTCAGGTGTTCTGCACATGCCCAGTAACATCAGCTCCAAGGGGGTAAGACAATAAAGCCTATCACACAAATTAAATATATTTTTAAAAGAGTAATGCACTGAGCCTGATTAAGTATCCAGGCAAATTTAAATATGTAGAATCAACCCAGGAGAAGACCATCTCTTTAACCTATATTTTCAAAACACATCAGCAGCAAGCAGTTAAGCACCTGGTCTCAAAATTTCTAGTTTTTGTCTTGCATGCACACGGTCACAGGTTCAAACTCTAACACCAAGGAGTAGGGCAGGGCATGTCAGCAGCAATACAAACCAGTTTTGTAAGTTGAAAAGAGTTCTGAAGACTGGTGTGAACATACTCATCTATAATGACTATACGCATAAAGTTGGTTAAGATGACTAACACTAGAGAGAGAAGCTTCAATAGGTAAAGGCATCTGCCGTATGCTTGTTATCTTAGCATTAGGGAAGCAGAAATAGGAGGATCCCTGGAGCTCACAGGTTCAAGTGGAGACCATCTCCAACCATAAGTGGAGAAATACCTGTGCCAGTTTCCACACACGAACATCCATGTGTGCAGCATACACAAAGATAACACATAAGATAGAATACAATGTGTGAAAGTCATGTGGGAAGTCAGGTAAAGCTAACCAAAAAGAGAGGGAGGGAGGAAGGGAGAGAAGGGCAGGGCGTGGTAGTGCATGCCTTTAATCCCAGCACTGTGGAGGCAGAGGCCGGCCCAGGATACACAGAGAAAACCCATCTAGAACCATCTGCCAAACAAAACAAATTATTATATTTTTTTCGTTTTTTTTTTTGTTTTTCGAGACAGGGTTTCTCTGTGGCTTTGGAGGCTGTCCTGGAACTCGCTTGGTAGTCCAGCCTGGCCTCGAACTCACAGAGATCCACCTGCCTCTGCCTCCCGAGTGCTGGGATTAAAGGCGTGCGCCACCAACACCCGGCACAAATTATTTTTTAAGTGTTACCTATACATAAAAGCCTGTCTTGTCTGCACTACTGCATGCCTGGTGCCCTCAGAGGTCAGAAGAGGGCAGTGAATCCCCTAGAACCTAGGTTCTCTCCAAGAGAAATCAGGGCTCTTAACTGCTGGGCTGTTCCATACCAAGACAAGCCAGTTTAAATACAAACTATTTTCTGAGGGTTCTCCCTCCCTCATGAACAATTTTCAAAGAAGCATACACCTTCACTTTAGAGGTTCCCAGGGTCTTTAGGGACCAGAGGCATTCTCTTAAAGGCCCAGTTCTAAGCAAACACCGGTTTACAGAGCGGTTTCCTGAGAAGGGATTGACAAAGGAGAAGAATGAGAAGGGGCTGATTCTAAGAGGAGCAGAGGTGAAGGCATAGGAACCCAAACCAAAAGGAAGGGCTGTAAAATTTGAAGCTAAATAAAACCGAGTACACCCAAAATAACTCGTCAGAGTAATGACCTTGAGATCAGTTGCTATTTACTTTCCTTGAAGATAGGTTAAGATGATAAACATTCAGTAAGCTTTAAGAATAGTAGGTAACCTTGCATTTCCACCTATGTAACATTTTAGAGAAGATAAGGCAGTGAACACATTTAGTGATAGCACGTGATCTCGTTCCTGGAATCCACGGTTTTATCAGAAGTAGAGCAGGGTGTGGTGGTGCACTCCATTTATCCCAGCACACAGGAGGCAGCAGACAGGTGGATCTGAGTGCAGCCAGCCGCAGGTTCAGGGAATAAGGGCGAGACTGACAGAGCAGGGTGCCTGAAGCTCCTCTCTGGTGCTCTAACCCCAAGACACACAGGGTCCACCTCCCACCCCCCCCTAAATTTTAGGGACAAAACTGCCTTTCACTGGCTTCCATGTATAGCTTCCCCTACAGAAAGTAGGGGGAAACATTTCTGAACTCACCTTTTCAAGACACTTGACTAGAAAGGGCTGAAATCTAGATTTTAAAAGCGTAACTTGTGGGGTAGTACATGGGGCTGCATGCCTGTGCCCCAGTACTCCAAGGCTGAGGAAGGGATAGTCCAGGCTGCTAAAGGTGCCTGGTAATTTTTATGCTAGCTCTAATATTGGCAGATGAAGGGCCTCTGCCAGGAAAGTTCACCCCACAGGCAAGCCAAAGCTGTTAGACCAGTTTATGTAAACACAAGAATAAAATCTCAAGGAAGCTGAGAATTTCATGTTCACATACTGCAAATACCCTTTAAAAGGAGAATGAGAAGTAAAACTCTTGCAGCTGGGGATGCAGCTCAGTGATGACAGTACTGGCCTGGCATGTGCACGGCCCGGCCGAGTCAGACCCCAGACACTAGGAAAAGAAGCTGCTGGCTAGAAAGGCCATTCTCACTGCCTCCTCGTCTCATCTCTGAGGCAGGCCTGCAGCTTACTATATAGACCGGCCTGCCCCAGCCTCCACAGCACGGGAATTAAAGGTAAGTGCCACTACCTTCTGTCTGCCTCCTCTAATTCTAGTAGCTTTTTTCACCTTCTCTGATGTACTGGAGACAGGACTTGGCAGTTAAGGGTAATTTAGCTGCTCTTCCAGAAGACCCAGGGTTTGATTTCAACTGTCTACATGGTGGCTCACAGTGGCCAGTTCTAGGGATCTAATGTCTCTCTGTACGGAGGGCAACAGGCACTCACATGGTGCTCAGACAAACATCTACACACATTTTTAAAAAGCCGACGAATGCACATTTGTAATCCCAGCACTTGGAAGGGAGGCACAGAAAGAGCCCAGGACAGCCGTGGCCACATGGCAAGAAGGTGGCCCATAGAGAGATGAAGAAGGAAGCAGGAAAGAGCCAGCCTAAGGGCCAGGGGACGTTCCTGTCGGAAAAGAGCATGTAGTCTGCATCCAGTGCCCAGTGCTCACCTAAGTGAGGTGGGTGTGGCAATGCAGGCCTGAAGCACCCAGAACTAAGGAGGCAGAGCCAGGGAGATCCCCAGGGCTTCGTGGTTAGCCAGTACGTGGGGAAGACATCAACACAACAACAACGACAACAACAACAACGACACTCCCAGCAACAAGGAAAGCAGAGACTGGAGAATTCCTACAAGCTCAATGGCCAGCTACAACAAAGTGTTATCAAAACACCCGAAGATGCCCCCTGACCTAACACCTCCCCACCCCCTCCACACCACACCCACCAGGGGAGAAAGACAGACAAAAAGAAGTCACTATCTGGGTTGCTAAACCCAGATTTTAGGAGGCAGAGCCAGGAAGCAGAGCCAGTATGGCCTTAAGTTTGAGGCCAGCCTGGAACAAAGTATGACACTGTCCCCCTGGAAACCACATGATAGGAGAGAAGAGACTGCTCTGACCCCTACCTCCACCACAAAAATGAGTGTAATTTAAGGGGGGGGGGGAAGCCAGTGAATCATACTATACAGCAATGACTCATAAACAGGCCTTAAAAACCCAAAGGCATAAAAAGCTCCCAAGGCCGTCTGTCCTCATGCTCACCAGGGTACTTTCCATTATCAAATTTTCTTTAATGATTTACCCAGAGTCACAGGGAAGAAATACTTATAAACAGAGTAAATACACAGAGCAAACACAACTAGGCCAATTAAAGTGAACAACACAGGAAGGAAAGACCTGGACGGTCAGAAGTTCCCTTTTCTCATTCACTGTTGACAGGGACAGGGAGGTCCCTCCAGCTAGGTCACCAGGACAGGACAGGACAGGAGCAGCATCACTCACCTGAGGACTCAGTCCCCAGCACTGTGGCAGGAAAGCATTTATGCGGTAACTTTACCCTGGGGTATAACAAGAAAACTGAAGACAATCATTGAACCCTGGCTTGCAATGAATGCTCACGTTTGGTCAGCTTTAGGCAAACAATACACAAGTGTCCTTTGACCTGTAAAAGTCTTGCTAAGGCTTGGTTTACACCGCAAGCTCCAGACCTCACCTCTAACACAAAACAATCACCTGTCCACCTTGTGTATTCCAAGCAGGACCATCTTTTTTGCTCAGCTGAAGGCAAAGCACATCCACAAGGCGAACCTTAAGAACTTGAGAAGAGAAATCCAAAGAGCCCACATGCCTCGTTTACACTGTGCTGTGCCAACATGTGTTGGAGATTCAACCTTATCTGCACAGGGAGTTTGAGGACAGTCAGGGTCATTGATACTCTGTCTCAAAACACAATCTCAGTCTGCCCAGGGGCAGCAGGGCCTCTCTGAAGAAACCCACGCATAGGACACTCCACAAAGTGACCTCCACACACACAGGGCACACAAATGCACACAGATATATACGGGCACACACACAAGGAGACACAGATATCAAATGTATACACAAAGAAGATCTCAAAAAGAAAAACAAAACGATGCAGACATGTTTGTGTGTATGGCCTTTCTGACATAAAAATCGGTGCTCCTTCTGAAGGATGTAGCAGTCACATAAATCCCGGGAGTGCTTACCAGACAGTAGTATCTGCAGTATTCTGCACAGCAGTAAGCTATCCTACTTACACAACCACACCAAACAACCCAGGTTTGACCAGATAGAACACCCAAGAAACAGCTTCCTAAAGATCCAAGCTGAGGTTGAGCACAGCCTCTTACAGCGCCATGTTCAATGCTTGGGTGCTACCCAGAGTGTGGATGACCAAGTCATCATGCCCTCTTCTAAGATCATCATTATCTACTGCACCTCAGAAAGTTCAATTTAGACCTAGGTCGTTTCTGGCAAAGATGCTAAACTAACACCATAATATGGATTACAACCTGAGAAATTAGTTAATTCCTCTCCAATTTCTACACTATTTTTCAAAACTGCCCTTATTGGGCTCACTATAGGACTTCAATTTTTCCTTCTTTTCCTAGATGTACAAAACGAAACCTCAACTTTTAAGTGGACTGGAGAGAGATCTCTGTGGTTAAAGTACATGCCATGCAAGTAAAAGCAAGTTCGATTCCTACAAGATGGATACGGAGCTATCTCCAATCTCAGCACTCCTACAGCAAGGGGGGGGCAGAGAAAGGAGGACCCAAAGCTTATGGGTCTGGTAGCCTGGCGCACAGGCAAAGTAGAAGAGGTCCAAGACCAACACCCAAAGTGAATGAATGGAATGGCATACCCAGGCCCTCCTCTCCCCAAGAGAAGATAAACGGGTGATCTTATGACTTTGAGTACAGGCTCTAGTCTGTTATTAGGCTATCTGACCCAAAACAAATTACATGAATTCTTGTGAAACATGGTTCCTATTTACTCGACAAGGTCTTGGTGATTCTGTAGAATAATGTTAAGTACACAGTCTGAACAGCAGAGAGTAACCAACCACTAAATGCCAACTAGATGGAGTTCTAGCTCTCTGTCACCTGACCGCCCCTCCCCACAGACACAGAAGGCCAACACTTGAAGCACCATGGAAGTATTACTTGAACTTGGCTATGTCCACACAGAGGCGGAGTTGGACTTTGGTAGGTGGTAACCACTTTTCTAGGATGGTGGCACAAGAAACTCAGCAACATCTAAAACATTAAACAGCCGTACCATATAAGAGGAAATGCCCATATCCTACATTTGGAGCACACGTTCCACTGGGGTAAAGTCCCTCTAAAGAGTCTTGCTCTCTTGCCACAGGTTGGTGCTCTGAAGAAATCATTTTGGCACACAGTGGTGTCAAATACTTGAGGAATCAGTCTTCAGTACACAATATCCTAAGTACACGTATTTATCTGTGTGTGAGTACAGTTGGGAGCTCAGAGGTGGAGTCATCTTGCCAGTTCATGTATTTATTGTTGTGCCACAGCATACATCAAAAAACTTCTGGGAGTCAGTTCTCTTTTACTTTAACATAGGTGCTCAAGATCCAACTCAGATAACCAAGCTTGTACAGGAAGCACTTTCACCGGGCTGGTCTTGAGCTTGGATATCTGCCTGCCTTTGCCTTAAGACTGCTGGGATTAAAGTTGAGGTCAGTATACTTTCTTATAAGTAGACATCAGATATTTACTGTAAGCAGCTAAAGTAAATATCAACTCAACATTTCTAGTCCAAGCTGGATATGATGATCTACAGCTGTATTGTCTTGAACACTGAAGCAGGAGAATGAATAATGATTGGGAGGCCTGTCTGGGCAACATAGTGAGATCCAGTCTTCATAAAATCCTCCTTAGAGAGGGACACAAGCCATCTGAAAATAATAAATTGCCTCTGTTTTCATCCCACTAAAAAGCTCAACCTGCCATGTGGTGGATCTCTTGAATTTGAGGCCAGCATGTTCAAACTCAGAGATCCATCTATCTGCCTCTGCCTCCCAAGGGCTAGGATTAAAGGAGGACTGAGAAATCTTATCTTGAAAAACAAAAACAAGGCTGGAGAGTTGGCTCAGTGGTTAAGTGACTGCTCTTACAGAGGACCCAGGTTCAAGTCCCAACAGTCACATGGTTACTCAACTGTCTACAACTCCAGCTCCAGGGAATCCAATACTCTCATACAGACTACATTCAGGAAAAAAAAAATACCAATTCACGTAACATAAAAATAAACAAATCATAAAATAAAAACAAAAAAAGCTCAAGCAAGGATGTTATCTTACCATAGTAAATCCCATTTTTTGATGACTCTCACTAATGCCACTCTCTATGATGCAGGTCAGGAGGTGGACAGAACTTGGTTAGGACACAAAATTGGAACTAGAAATTAGCCAAAGGGCTGGCAATGTTATTCAGTTGGTGGCATGCTTGACCAGCAGCACACACGAGGCCCTGGGTTTGATCTCTAGCATCACATAAACAAGGTGTGGTAGTAGAAAAGCCAGGTGCTTAGGGTCTACTTTGAGATCTTGTCTACGAAAGAGAGGAGAGGGAAGACTGCAAGACGGCCTGGGTCAGTCATTTGCTGTCACGTCTAATGACCTGAGATCAATCCCTGGAGCCCACTTGGTAGAACGAAAGAACTGACTACCACAAGTAATCCTGACAGGCAGGCATGTGTGTTGTCACCCGTACTAAAAGAACATCCCAACACTACCTACTGGAATATTCCATCAGGAAGCAGCAGAAGCTGGAAAATTTCTCTAAGTTTTGTCAAAACAATGCACTATAAGGAGATAGCAATCTCAACCAGCGTTAAGATCTCACTATTAGTGCTCTAGCCAGGAAACTATATAGTAAAAAAATTCCTTTTCTTGACCAATTGAAGTACTTTGAAATAAAGCAAAAGCCACAACTCTCCCATTAATCGTCTTTTTAGTACACATTTATTTCCCTCACCATCAGTGCTCACTAAGACCAAACATGCTGAGGCTGCACTCGCTGCTCTTCAGAGGATCTGGGTTCAACACCCCAAGCCCACATCAGGCAGGTCACAACTGCCTGTAGCTCCAGGGTAATCTGATTTATCTGGCCTCTCCAGGCACCTGCACACACACACTAATTAATTAAAATAAATTAAATCTAAACAACAATAAATAAAATTTTGGGACCCAAGAATATGTAGCTCAGTGGAAGAGCACTTGCCTAGCATTCAAGAGGTCATGGGTTCAATTTCCAATACCACAAAAGATTTTAGCCAGGGGCCAGGCGTTGGTGGCACACGCCTTTAATCCCAGCACTCGGGAGGCAGAGGCAGGCCTCTGTGAGTTCGAGGCCAGCCTGGTCTACAGAGTGAGTTCCAGGACAGCCTCCAAAGCCACAAAGAAACCCTGTCTCGAAAAACCAAAAAGATTTTAGCCAGTTCAGTCTCCAGTACAAGAATGAACCACTACAGGGTACACTGGGAAGTAGACAGGAGGGCCAGTTTTAAAACAATGAAACATCACCATGACAATTGTAAAACTGCAGTCATAGCTTTTTTCTACCATGGCAAAGATACTCTAGCCACATAACACAACACTAATGCCCTAACCAACTTTTCTGCGGTGCCTAGTGCACACTAGGCAAACAAAGTAATCTTTTCTTTTCTCCTTTGAGAATGGGTCTCATTGCTCCCCTTTATTGAGATTATAAGTATGGGGTTTGGCTACTTTATAACTTGGCTTACAAAGTAACAATTCTTACAAAACAAAAAGAAAAACCCAGCTTTTAAATAATGAGCCATCTCTCCGGCCTCTCAAAGTAACAGTTTTTAAAAACACCTGCCTTGATAAGATACTTTCTAATTTTTGTCCAAGCAGTAACCTAATTCTTCTTTTTTGGATAGTATCCAATAAGCCATCTAAGATTATAATTGGGCTTGGTGACTACTGCCTGAAATCACAGAACTTGGGGAGTTAAGGCACAAGGATTCTTGTGAACTCTGGACGAGCCTGAGCTACAGCAAAGCAAATTCCAATTATTGTCTCTACTAACTCCTCAAACTATGCTAGTCTGTACTTCACACAGGCTGACAGGGACAACTAGCAGATCATGTTCTTATTTTTTAAAAAGAAACTTTTATGCTGGTGGTAATGACACACCTCTTTAATCCAAACCCCATTAAGGAAGCATTAAAGGATCAATGTTAGACACTTGGGAGGGTAAAACTAGGTTGTGAGTTCAAGACTAGTCTGGATAACATAGCAAAACCCCATCTCAAGACACCAAGAATAGGCCAATGGCCCAGATTATCAGCATGACTAGAATGAATTGTCAGTTGAACCTAGTAGGAAGGGCTGCAACAAGAGTACAGATAGTGGCTAAGGGTCCAAAGTATGTCAGAAGGCAATGATAAAGCCTGCTATCAGGAGCAGTCTCACAGAGCTCTCAGTGCCTGAGAGGGAGAAGTCATATAATTTCTAACCTGATGGAATAGAGCTTCAAACCTTCCAAACCCCTATCCTTACTCCCTCTTAAGACAGCAGGCTGCTGAAGAATGAAGAGACACCTACAGAATGTATCCTAGGAGAAGATTCTATTCTGAGATTCCTGGAGAATAGGCCGGACTCAGAAAACTGCTGGAGACAATCAACTGGACAGACAGACCTGATAATGGGCAGGCAAACATTTCCTTCCCACTCTTCAAGCAGACTCTAAGACCAATAGAAATGCTGCTACAAAGCTAATACACTTTGGTTTTCTCATAAGTAAGTATCTTACCAGACAGTACTGGCAAACAAGTACTCTCTTAATCCCTAAATTCAAAGAAAAAGAGCCCTCCTGTAAAAGGGTCCAGTTGGTCTATGTGGTCTGGCAAGAAGGACAGCAAAAAAAAATCTTACTACATGCTGCCATAAATACATTCTAACAATGTATACTTGCTTACTGGAGAGTGTGTCTAGAGAATCTCCCTTGCCTGGAAGGATAAGTATATCCTCTACCACAATGTGTGTGTCAAGACGTGAAACTCAAAGAGTGATTATTCATTAGATCCACAGTACATAGGACTCTTGTGCAGAACACTACAGCTGTTAGGACTAGTTCTGCACTAAGACACTTGGAGAGGTATCTGAGGAAGACCACCACATCCTATTGTGGATGTGCTCATCCCCCACCTTCCTCTGTCTGCCCTCTTTTTTCTGTGTGCAGGTGCAGGACAGAGGCTAACAATGGTCTTTCTCAATTTTCTGAGGCAGTCTCACCCTAAATATGCTAGGCAAGTTACCCTACCACCGAATGATATCACAATACCGCTTTTTAATTTTTATTTTGAGTCAGATGTCATTTAGTTACCCAGGCAGACTTTGAAAATGCAACCTCCTACCTCAGCTTCACAGGTAGCTAAAAGTTAGTCCTGTGCCACTAGAGCTAGCTCTAGATATTTCTGCATGATCAATGTTTGTGTATCTAATAGGAAAAGCATCATGCATTCAGGAACAGTGGCACATGCTTAAAATCCCAGTATTTCAAAGGCCGAGGCAAGCGGATAGCCAGTGGAGGTGAACTTAGGCCACATGGCAAAACTTTATGAGAAATACACAGTGCTAGATATTTTAACATATTGTGCCAAACATCACCGCTAACAATTCAAAATTTCTTTTTTTTCCAGTTTTTTGAGACAGGGTTTCTATATAACAGCCCTGGCTGTCCTAGTACTCACTCTGTAGACCAGGCTGTCCTCAAACTGTGCTTGCCTGCCTGCCTTTGTCCCCCAAGTTCTGGGATTAAAGGGGTATGCCACCACTGCCCAGAACAATCCAAGATTTCTATGCTTAGTTAAATACATATAACATAACCTGTCATGTCAAGCAAGTCTCTGTACTTTCTGGGTGTGTCTTACTTTCTTCTGAGTGACACGATCTCTTAATTCTTATGCTTAAACCTGTTAAAATC